AAACATGAAGTACATGTACATGTATCTAGAAACACCTTTCAGAGTTTATTTCGGTTGACAGGTTAGAAGTTAAAGAGGTGGTGGTTTTTAATGACCTTGACCTTTCATCCAAATGTCACAATCAATCTTAAGTTCTTGGAATAAGATACAAGATTCAACTCCAACGTTAAATAGGTTAAGAACACACACACACACACACACACACACACACACACACACACCCACACACACACACAAACAAATCAAATTAATGGCAACATAGAGAATCACTGTTAAACTCAAATAACACCTCGGACCCACATAAAATTTCAAAAAAAAAATGCAGAAAACAGCTCGAGGAAAGTGTATTAAAATATTTCATTTGAGTTTCCTAAGTATATAGAAATTATTAATTTATACAGAAAAAATTACAAATCCTGTCGTGTTTAAAATTAAAGTGCAGATGACCAAAGTTGGCATATAAGCCTTTTATAGCTTATTTATTCAGATGTCGTTAATAGCATTCGATTCTACTGATTTGAAATAATATTTTAATACCAAGTATCCTTTGTTTAATTTACCTTTGAAATTTATTTGAATTTTTTTTTTAGAATTACGCAATCCCCAGAAATAGCGATTTTCGGTATATTAAAAATCAATATACATGTACGCTCCTTCGTAAATTAATCAGATATTTGCACTCATGAAAAAAATATTAATAAGAAGGTGTTAAACAATATAGGTCACATTAGCTGACACGAATGTCTTTTTAAACATCTCTTGTAAAACCCAGAGAGTAGCCCCCTAGGCATTGGAAAAAATGAATAGTTCCGGTCAAAAAACCTTTATATATTTATTTACAAAGTATATAAAATTTACCAGGCACAGGTATCAGAGTGGTCAAAATGGCCTGAGAGGAAATATTAAAAAAAATTCTGAACAGAAAGGAAAATCCCTTTTCCATGTATGGAACTACTATTGAATAAGTTCATTTTGATTGGTTAGGTATTGGCGTGATACCCTTAGTCAACTTTAACCCTACCTTGTCGTCGGAATAAAACCAACTTTGAGCCCGAGGTTAAAATAAGTAGAGAAATAAAATGTGAATCGATAATATGACGTATGCTTGAAAAATGGTAAATATATATATGTATTTTTTTCTTTGATTCGCGGGATAGAAAGAAGGATATGGAAATAACGAACAGTATTCAATCTCAACGTCCATTAAACAAATATACAAAATAAGAGCAGAGCAAACACGGACCCCCGAAACATCAGAGGTGGGATCAGGTGCCATGGAGGAGTAAGCATCCCCTGCTGACCGGTCACACCCGCCGTGTGCTCGTTGTCATAATCAGGATATAACGGAAAAAATCCGTGGTCAATTCAGTGTATAAATAATGGACTAACAATTGGTATGAAAAACGTCAGTCAGCATTTCATTCAATGATAAATTGTATTTGCTGACAAGGTCATTGTATCGACAATAGAATTTACGAAATGATGACTTCAAACGAGACTGTTGATATTCTTGTTTCATCAACTTGCTTGTCAATAATTTACCTCGTTTAAGAAATTGTTCATACGTAGAGCATGCTCTTGCATATCGAATCAATTGAGATATAAATACTCCGTATGCAGGTGATGAAGGTATATTGCTGCATAAGTAAGGGAAGCTGACGATAGAAAAGTTAAAGTCATCACGTTTATCATATAGCTTGGTTGTTAGATATGTTGATCGCTTAATCAACATGCCATAATCATCTTGCATATGCATGTACATGTACGTGTGCGCGCATGCAAAACGTTAAACAATATATCGTTGATAGTTGATATTATTGTAACTTTTATATTCTTAAATGAAATCTTGGGATACTTGGCATATTTATAAAAGGTCTTAGAGGAATAAGGCACGATAAGGGACATGGGGAGCATTTGGGGAACATCTGTAACGGTCCCCGTTACAATTAGCACTAGTTCTTATTTTTCTTCCTGGGAAAATTTTGTCCGCGAGTGATCTTGTAAACTACACATCAGACTAAGGTGAAATGTTTTTAGGGTCAGTAGACATGTAATGTAGATTTGCGGAACGAAGGTCATTTTGCGCGCACGTGCTTGCAAGAGCGTGCACGTGCAACATGATAAATGACCGATTACATTGATATAGATGTAACTTTTTAAATTTTTGATGAAATGCTTTAGAACTCATAATATAAGGATACATTAGAAGTATAGACAATATGACATGGTCAAAATAGCAAGATCTCACGCGCATGCACGTGCGCTGCACTCTGATTGGCTGAAACAAAAATCTCAATATCTTTTTTGTCTTTTGACGAAATGCTTTGAAATTTTAATTATAGCCATGCATTAGGATATCCTTCAATATGGTATATAGCAATTATCATGAAAACACGTGCATGCACGTGCGCTGCAATCTGATTGGCTGAAACTTTAAATAGCTATAACTCATTTGGATTTCAACCAAAGAGGATGGGATTTTAAACATAGATAGATATTATGAACTACTACAAGAAGGTATGGTCACCATGCACATGGACACACGTGCATGTACGTGCGCTGCAATCTGATTGGCTGAAACTTTAAACAGCTATAACTCCCTTGGTTTCCAACCAAACAGGATGGGATTTGGAACATAGATAGATATAATGGACTACTACAAGAAAGGTATGGTCACCATGCACATGCGCACATGCGTGTACGTGCGCTGCAATCTAATTGACTGAAACTTTTAACAGGTAAAACGCCCTTGGTTTTCAACCATATGGGGTGGGATTTAGAACATAGATAGATGTAATGATCTTCTACAAGAAGGTATGGTCACCGTGCTCATGTATGCACGTGCGTGCACGTGAAATGAACAAAATCAAAAATACACTTGAATGAGGGTATTTTTATTATTTTGGATTAAATACTTTAATTTTAAGTTTATCAAAATATATGGATTGTGTAGACAAAATAATATGGTCATTACGCACAGGCATTCGCATGCGCACGCATGCAATGCTAAAATTTGAATGAACTTCGTACACTTCCAGGTAAATGTTAAAGTCTTAAAAAACATAGAGTTTGTCTTATTTAATGAAGCTTACAGGTAATATGGCACAAAAAGAGAGTTGGGGAGCATTTGGGGAACATCTGTAACGGTCCCCGTTACAATTAGCACTAGTGTTTTTTAGCATGTTTACATTGGGAAAATGTAGCTAATATTTGTCAATACTTTTTTACAAACATTCACAAGCACCAAACCTGCTGGGTTCTGTATATTCTATCCTAATTCGAAAATTCGCAGGATTTGATTGACCAGGGGGATGTGTTGATTTTTGAATAATACAGCTAATCTCAGCCATTAAGATTACCATCGGGAGGGTTGAATAATAATGCTATGAAAAAATAAATGCTCTGGTGATCTCAATGCACATGAAAATCAAGTTTGTTATTGATGCGAAAGGGAGATTATGATAATTTTTAGGTCACCTGAGTAAACTCAGGTGACCTATTGCTATCTGTTTTCGTCAGTCGTCGTTCGTCGTGCGTCGTGCGTTAACATTTAAACATTTTCAGCTTCTTCTCTGAAACCACTGAACCAATTTCAACTAATTTTGGCATATAGCATCTATGGGTGAAGGGGAACAAAAATTGTGAATTTCGTGGTCCCTGCCCCCCTGGGGCCTGGGGGGTGAGGTAAAAACCACTAAAATTAGTGTAATCTTTAAAAATCTTCTTCTTTACTCCCGGACATCAAGCAGTCAAACTGTTGGTATGACTGTAATCAGCATTGAGTCCTCTACAAAAATTGTGAAATTCATGGCCCCAGGGTCAGGGGTTCTGGTGTTAGGGCGTGGCTCTATTGATTATATAGTGAAAATGCATTAAATCTTTTGAAATCTTCTTCTCTGCTCCTAGATATTAAATGAACTAGTGAAGTACATAGTTATGATGAGCAAGAGTGCCTCTACCAAAATTGTGAATTTTATGACCCAAGGGTCAGGGGTTATGGTGTAAGGGCGGGGCTGTATTGATTATATAGTGAAATGCATTAATTCTTTGAAAATCTTCTTCTCTGCTTCCGAGTATTAAATAAACTAAATAAGGACATAATTATGATGAGCAAGAATGTTTCTACATAAATTGTGAATTTTATGGCCCCAGGGTGAAGGGTTCTGGTATTAGGGTGGGGCTCTATTGATTATATAGTGAAAATTCATTTAATCTTTGAAAATCTTCTTCTCTGCTCCTAGGTATTAAATAATAGTTATGATGAGCAAGAGTTTTCTCTACATCTGTGTAATAAGCAGATGAACTATTTACATAGTTATGATGGGCTCTTCTTCCAGAATTAAGAATTTCAAGGCCCCTGGGTCAGGGATACCAAAATGGGGGGGGGGGGGCTCTACTTATATACTGAAAACGAATTGTTTAAAATCTGCTCCTTGGTATTAATCAAAAATTTTTGTTTTGCAAGTGTGCCTTTTCAAAAATTTTGCAATGTGTAGACCTAGGGTCAGGGGTTCATGTGTGGTAGCAGCACTCCTGATTATTGCTGAATATTACTGATTAGTTGACATACATTTTTGTTCCCCAGCCTGCTTATAGGTATTAAGTAAACAAACTAAGCAATTGCTAAGTGTATAGTTATGATAAGCAATGGTGCCTCTTTCAAAATTGTGAATGCCATAACATCTAGCTTAAAACATGAATCAAATTCAATAATTTTGAAAGTTGTTGCATGATGCTCAGGTGACCTATAAGGCCCCTGGGCCTCTTGTTAGTTTTATTTTTGGGGGGTGTCACCATATTGATATCAATATCTCAGGAACTATCACTCAAAATCGCACGAAATTTTGGTAACTTGTTGATTAAAGATGAATTAAAATGTATGATAAAAATGCTGAAAAACATATGTGAAATAATAATTTCTAATTTAACTCAAAAGTTTAATATGCATTTCTTAATCCTTTCAGTATATATAGAATACAACACACTCACTGTGATGTAATTCACTGTAGATATTTGATTTTCTTCACTTGTTTGTTCCACATTTGAGCAACAAACAGATTATCATTTCTGTCTATACACAGTCCCAAGGGTTCACACATTCCACAATCTATGTAACAGAGGAACTGTCCATCCTGGTCTATGATGTGGACACAGTGATTGATACTATCAGCTGTAAGGATGTGACTCTGACTGTCTGTGGTGATTCCTGTTGGTTGGAATGGTTGGTTCTCTGGAGCAGGAGTATGTCCAGTGTACCTGAATTTCAGTTTCCCGGCCTGATTGACCACCACTACTGCCCTAGCTTCACAGTTAGGCATGCAGATATCCAGGTTCCTGTTCTCACTAATGTTTCGATATTCAGTTATTGAAAAACATACTGATGATGATGAATGAGGTAGTTGAACTTTATCATCAAACTGAATGATTTGTTTCTCTGTGGAGCCAGAGTAACGGACAACTTTTGATTGCTTGTAATCATCACTCCTCATGATAACCAGGAGGTCACCAGAGGAGGTACTACAGACACCGAGAGGTCTCCAGTTCTTTAGTCTGATTACCTCCTCTATCTTCTCATTCTTCACAATGTTTACAGTACTAACATCAGTATAAACTAGATCTCCACTTTTTGTCACCGCTATGTTAGACGGAGTGTACCCTGACTTGGTTCTGATTGACTTGAGTAGTGATCCCTGATTGACACTGTAGAGTTTCATGGTGCTGTCATCTCCACTTGTCCAGATTTTGTCATCACTCAGACAGGCAACATTGAAAAGTTTTCTATACCCAGTGTCTATGGTGGTGAGAGTCTCTGGTTCATCAAGTACCTGTTTGACTGGAAGAGAGGATCCAGCTTCTGGTGATTTCTGTGTTGTCTTCATGCTGTAGCCATGTTTATCTGATGTTAAAGGACTTGGTGACAAGGATCCAAATAGTTTACTAAGTTCTTCTCCTTGGATTTTTTCTGAAATGAATTTGGGTAAAAATGAAATAATTTTGTCAGGAAGATTTCTGTATATTTGTACATTGGATGCGGTACTAAATAGTTTGGACAAGTCATTAGTGTCTATTGCTATTTCTATTGAATTGATTTCTTCCTTGATGTCAGACATTGTCTTGTTTATTTCATCCAGATGTTTCTGTAGAGTTTGTAACTTTGTGTTTTTCATCTCATCAACTTCAGCTTTAAGTTTCTGGACAAGTTTGTCAATTTCTCTGTGCCAGTTTTCTCCATGTTTTGTTATGGCTGTTGAAAGATCTCGATGTTCCTTTTCTAACTGACTCATTCTATTTTGTACATCAGAGGCAATGTCCTGGTATGTGGGGTAAATTGTATCATTTAATTCATTTCGTTCTTGTTTAAGCAATTCCTTTTTGCCATTGAGAAAGTCCAAGAGTTTATATAACTCATGACCTAAATGTGTCTTAGATGCAATACAACTAATGCAGACAGGAATGTCACATTGTTTACAGAACATTTCACATCTTTCTGTCGCATGAGTTTTACACCCAGGGTAGAGCAGGGTAGATTTTCTATCCTTGAAGTCTACAATTTTATGGGGTTTTGAGAGATCAGCAGAAAAGTGTTCTCCCACACAGGCCTTACACAGGTTGACAAGACATGTATCACAGTGCATCTGTACCACAGCGGTCTCACACAGGTCACATCGCATCACATCCTGGGCACTGGTACTGGGGTCCATCTTTAAACTTTATGAAGCTAAAAAAGTTAAAATTTCTTCTCATGAATATTCATTTTAAGAAAAAATTTAAGACAAGAAAAATTTAAGAATTAAGCTTGCAGATATATAGGAAAGTCACAACTTCAAATGTTGGGTCTTAGCATAAAAGAAAGTTTAATGAGAAATACAGGTAAACTTTCAGATATTGACAATTAATTACGTTGACAGTATTTACTGTTTGAATTACTTGTAGAAACCCGAAGATATCATCTTATGTAATGCTGACTAACCCACTTACATTGTAGCTTGATATTCAATCATAGTCCAAAGCACAAACTTTACTGAGTTATGTTAGTAATAGGGCAATGTCTTTGTTACCCATGGTTCAAACCTACTGAGGAACTTCCTTAACCTTTTTAAAATACTCAAAAATGCTCAAGTTACCTCCTAAATTTCTTACCTGACTTCAGTTATGGCGGCTGTCCTGTTGATCGATCTCCAAGTACAGTCTCTATACACTCTGATCACGTGTATTATCTACCTGTCTAGTGTTTATACTTCCTGGTCGAGAAGGCATTTAAATACCTTAACAGGAATCACCCTTTGTATTGCAGGATAAATTTTATAAAGAGTATTCAATAATTGAATGTCAGTTGACAGTAAAGAATTTCCTTTTTAGTTTAAAGTGCTAGAATAAAACTCCATTGCCCATATACATGCATGTTTAAAAAAATTTAGAACATTTATTTCTGCAAAAAAAGAATTACTTATAGTTCTTTTCTCATCACAATCTCTATTACAATATGTAAGAGAATTTAAAAAGAAAATCCTTAAAAGAAATAGGGATAAGGTTTTAAATACTTTCTTTCTTTTTTAGCTCTACTGGTCAGAGACCAGAAGAGCTTATGCGATAGTAATGCGTCCGTCGTCCGTCCGCCCATCTGTCTGTAAACAATTTTTCAAAATGCTACTCCTCCTACAGTTTTGGTCTGATTTCAATATAACTTGGCACACGAGTAGACTACATTAAGATACAAAAAGTATCGCATAGGTTTTTGATTTCGATGAACGGTATTGCAATGGTGTCTTAAAATAGAATTCCTTTAGAAATTCTTTTAAAACGCTACTCTTCTTACAGTTTTGATCTTATTTCGATATAATTGGGCACAACGGTAGGCGACACTTAGATACATAAATTAATGCATTGGTTTTCGATTTAGCTGAATGGAATTGCCATGGTTACTAAAAATAGAAATTTCTTGAAATTCCTTTAAAACGCTTCTCCTCTTACAGTTTTGATCTGATTTCAGCATAACTTGGCACACAAGTAGACTACACTAAGATGCATAAAGTAGTGCCTTAGCTTATGATTTCGATAAACGGTGTTGCTATGGTTACTAGAAATTGAATTTTTTGAGAAATTCCTTTAAAACTCTACTCCTCCTTCAGTCTCGGTCTTATTTTAATATACTAGTAACTTGGCACACAAGTAGACTACAAAAAGATACATAAAGAAGTGTATCGGTTTTTGATTTTGATGAAATGTATTGCCATGGTTACAAAAAAAAGAAATTTCTGTGAAATTCCTTTAAAATGTTACTCCTTCTAAAGTTTTGATCTGATTTCAATATAACTTGGCACACAAGTAGACTACACTTAGATACATAATTCTATTTATTACTGCCTGTTACAAAGTTTCAAATCCAAGTGCTACTTTTCCTTTATTACACGTAAAGACCAGTAGAGCTACAGTCTCATCATAGACTTCTGGTTGGTGTAGGTCTTGTTTCCAAGTAACTTTAAGCTCAATGTTGATCAAACTGCATGGATTATACATCTAAGGATGCATACAGCCAGACTTGCTTCGGATACTAAATCTGATCTGTATTTTCCGGTGTAAAGACGAATAATGACCCCCATCGAATAATGACCAGGGGTCATTTTTTAACGACAAAATTTGACCCCCTACCCGTAGAAAAAAAATCATTTTTTGTAGAAAAAGTGTCATAGGGGTCATTATTTTATATGTTAGTCCTATAAAAAATTGACCCCCATTGAAAAATGACCCCCTTTAAAGTGAAAAGAGATACTTTAATTGTCAATATTAATAAAATTTCTTTTTAATTTCCTCCTTATAGTGTTTGCTCAAAGAATGATATTCCACTTGTTTTTAGAAATCAAACCATGCAACAATCAGGTTCCAATACTCTTTAATAGAAAAATTAATTTTTCCTTCATTTCAACTTTTAGCTTGAACAAGTTTGGCAAATCCTTTTTGACAATGAAAGAGGAGGAAATCCCCCCTCCCCCCCCCCCCAAAAAAAAAAATTACGTTAAATCAAAAAAAATAAAATAAATGAAAAGCAAAAATATAAATAGTTATATATAATGTTCTATACATATAATTATAAGTTTAAGTGTAGGTGTATGGGGATTGAGGTGGGAGAAGTTGTTCTGAATTAGAAGTTTTCTGAACATTAACATGATTAAAAAGGTTTTTAATCAGAAGTTCTTTCCCTTTATAAATTAGGAGATACATAATATGTTTACTTCCATAAAGTGAATCTGTAAAAATATATATGTTTTTCATATTTACTATATAAAGTTGCTTATTATTTACTATTGAAAAAACGACAGGCCCCTTTTTTTAGAACATCAAATTTTACTTCTCGGATAAAAAGTACTATTTATACAGTTCCTATTTTATATTCTTAAAGTAAAATACATTTTTGAAAATAGGTGATGCATGTGTCGGTTCTAAGTTTATATCTTATACAGCTAACATTTACCTGAAGAATTGATAAAGTTTAAAAGGGTATCGTTTTTGTTCGATTTTTCTCCGACTATAATTTTTTTAAAATATTCAAGACTATCGTCTCCATTATTTAAACGGATGCTTTTTCATTCATATCGAAGCGGTTTGATGATCAAGAATCATTTCCATTGTTTACTTTATTTATTTCCCTGGCGAAAATTGATGGTTACATCAATGTTTTCTTGATTAGTATATATACAGCTTGTTGCGTGATGCAAGTTTTATCCAAGTAGGGTTGCACTAATGCAGGATTTCAACTTAGCATAAATATTTATAATACATATAATTTACGTGGCTGCTAGGCTAGCAAAATTTCTGATCAAATTTCGTATATGTACTAAAATCCATCTAGCACTGAGATCTTGAACGCACCCAAACTCGCCCTCTATAAATCATGAAATGATAAATCAATTATGTAAACAAATGGGGTTCTATAGTGCCTTTGCAAGGGCTCCTATTGTTGATCTAATATATACTCAACAAAATAAATTAAGGGCCAACTTGAAAATTTTATTTTTTGCACAATATATTGTAAATGTGATGTAAATAAATAATATTTTAAATGTAAACAATAATAAATGTCTTATAATAAACAACTGAACAACATGTAACAACATGTAACTGTCAAAACAACAAGAATATTCAACAATATTGGATTTCAAGAGGAAATAACAGTCGTAGTTATAGGTTTTAAATTAGCCTGGAAAGTCCAAACGTTATTTTTTTAATATCTTGTATGGCCACCTCTCGCCCGAATTACTTCCCTACAACGACTTGAAAAACTGTTGATTAAATTTCGGAATTTATCCCGTGGAATCCTTGACAATTCCTCAACAAGAGCAAACTCAAGCTCACGGAGAGTTCTTAGTTGGTTTTGCCTTTCTAAAATTTGCTTCTGGAGCATGTCCCATGCATGATTTATTGGATTCAAGTAAGGTGATTTGCTGGCCAATCCATCCTTCCGATTGTTTCTTCTTCTAAGTACTGGTTGACCACTCTCGCATGATGTGGCCTGGCATTGTCGTCCATTAAAATGAAATTTTCACCGATGGCAACAGCTTAAGGCCTTACAATTGGTGCAAGGATCTCATTCCTTTAACGGACACCTGTTAGTGATCCATTCCTTATGACATAGAGGTCTGTGGAGCTATCGTAACTGTTACCTGCCCAAACCATGACTGACCCACAACCAAACCGATCATGTTCAGTGATGCAACAGTCCTTAAACCTCTCATTTTTCTTCCTCCATACTCGCCTGCGACCATCATTGAAATCCAGACAAAATCTGGATTCATCAATCCATAATACGCCTTGGATATGATGATGGTCCCAGTCGATATGGTCTTGAGCATATTGGAGGCGACGGTTGCGATGTTCCACGGTCAAAGGTGGTTGCACAGGAGGTCTTCTGGCACGTAATCTTGTATCATGCAGTCTGTTTCGTAAGATTTGTGTGGAGATCCTTATACCTGTTGCTACAGATAGCTCTCTATTTAAAGAAACAGCTTAGAACATTCGGTTTCTCTTGGCAAGTAATGATATCTGTCTATCTTGTCTAACACTTGGGCTCTTTGGGCGACCACATTTAGGTCTCTGTTTGACGCTATCGTTCCAA